GCCAGAATCCAACACGAGCACCTCACGTCTCCCGGAGCCTTGTGATGATACACCTCACCGTAGCTCTGAGCACGCTGAGCCGCCGAAGTTCCCGTCGCTGTTTCATTTTCAGAACAGTGAATCTCTCATCGAAACGGCCAAACAGAAACCCAGCTTGGTTGTGTCAACCACATCAGGCCAGGCCAGCGAACTTGCAGACAGCCTTCCTTGTGGCCAGCCATTAAATAAATCCTACCTTCCTTTTTCTCCTGTTCGTCATTCCAAAGAGGGCGACTTCTCCTTGGAGCCGGTGTCTGAAAATAGGAAGGATTGTCTATCCCTTGCCCATGGAGCTAAAGGGATGACAGCTAGGTGGAAATACTTTGAAACTGAGAAATACGTGTCAGCTCAAAGGAAACAGGTGCCAAATGAAGGAGAACCTTCTGCGACTTCTACTCCAACTTGTAGTAGTAACAACCTGGAAGCCGTAGGGCATTGCTCTACTGAGACCGTTACAAAAACTAATACTCCAAATAAGAGACGTGTAAATCAGTTCCTTCCCTTGAAATTTGAAAGCACCCCCAAGAAAAGGCGGCTGGGGGAGATTCAGGATGAGCGATCCCATGTATTTGCCTGTCGCAGTTGTAGAGAGAGATCTCTAGAAGAAAGAAGCGAGGAGGAACCAATAGGAAGGGTCACCAGGAGGAAATCAAAGCAAATTGGAGTTCAACAAAAGGTAAATCTCCCATCTGAACGAAGGAAAATAATAATAAACCTCTCTATAGCTTTGTTTCGTGACCAGAGTCAGAGTGGAATTAGTGACTCTTTGCAAAGGGAATTCCTGTCTTTTCTCTCGGGCTTGTTTTGTAGATACGTTTTGGTTGCCAGTAGAAATTTAATATTCAGTCAGTCAAACATCGCCGATGCAGGTAATCCTTGACTTTGCCATAATTGAGCCTGTCAAATGACTGACTAGATTTTATCACTTTTTCAAGGTGGGTCCTTCAGGTAAATTCATTGTGTACTAAGGAGGGATTTTTGCCAGGAATCGGAAATAAACCCTGGTTTTTCGGCAAAAACATCATAAACCGGAGTCCTGTGACCACAGACACCTGCAAACAGCCATAAATGCTGGCTGGTTGCCAAAAACCCAAAATAACTAGCAGGTAGTTGTCAGAACTTCAGAATAAGATTGTATGTACCTTTTGGGGGGATGGGGGAATGTGTGTGTCATTAGTTCAAACAGTTACTATACCACTGTAGTGAGTTTAGGACGATCTGTAATTCTATCTAGTGAGAAACCATAAAGTGGCAACATTTAACATGAGGTTTTCCCATTTGTGGAACTTAGGACCACAATTGAGCCCAGAGTTTATGGCTGAGACATTCGTTAAGTGAATCACTGCAATTGTTAAGTGAATCCAGCTTCCCCGTTGACTTGGCTTGTCAGAAGCTTGCAAAAGGGGATCGCCTGACCCCGGGACATTGCAGCCGTCATAAATAGGAGCCAGTTGCCAAGCGTCCGAATTTTGATGGGGATGCTGCAATGGTCATAAGTGTGAAAAATGGTTGTCCCTTTTTTTCCCAGTGCTGTTGTAATGATGAACGGTCACTAAATGAGCTGTTGTAAGTCAAGGACTGCTTGTAATTTGGGTGGCACTTAAAGCCCAGCAACCATATTGTTGATTTCTCACTAAACACCTTCTCTCATCCTCAAAGTGTTCCAAAATAGCAATTTCAATATGAGCAGAATTTTAAAAAACAAGGATTCACTTTGCTTTTCTCTCTCTCTCTCTTTCTCTCTCTTTCGCTCTTAGGAGAATGGGGAAGGAAACGGTGTTCATCTTAAACGCAACGCACCCACACCAGACCTCCGCTCTCAAGTGCAGTCTGTAAGGTTAGTCTCTTTCTTGGCTAGTCACACGTATCATGGGGGAAGGGTCTACGTTATATGTGCTGGGCCAGAACAACCATATATTAATGGAGAACAATTTGTGCAGCGACTGCCGCTTTCCTTGAAATCTTGCTAATAACCCCATATTTTGGCTCCCAAGACCCAGCACATTTGAATATTTGCTTACCTTCAGGTCTGATGCTTTCATGTTTCTTCTTTTTGATCTCTAGGATCTCAAGAGCATTACTGGGATGGGCACGCTGGGTTTTCACCAAGGCAGAGAAGCAATAAACTTAGCAAAGATTCTATGATCTCAGGTTGAATTACACTTTTGTTCTGGTTCAGCTGTTTGGTTTTTTAATTCTGTTCTTCTGAAGATAGAAGTTGTTTCAATTTCACATACAGGAAAAAAAAAAGGAAGGCATCACCTTTCATCTAAGGTGGTTTGGATGCCTCGAGCAAAGATGGCTTTGATTTTTGATAACCAAGACGTGCCACCTGCTTCTTTTAAGGATGGCAGAATGACAATGCCATAAGACATAATGCGACTATTTACATACACTATAAGTGGGACTCAGCTGTAAATGCAAAGTGGTTTGTATGTTTTTGCTTTGTAACTTGTTAAAACAAACTGGCAACCGTTACAGCTTGTCTTGTATGTCACAAAGATAAAGAGTTGTTTTTAAGTATGGGGAAGCTGGGTTTTTTTTTACAGTTGATTGTAAATACAATGCAAAGAAATTTAGTCTTTAAAAGTTGACCTATGGAAAGCACAGTTCCTAAAACTAGTGAGCCCTGGCATGCAAAACCTGTAATTTTGTCTGTGATAAGGGATTTGCAGGTATTTTAAGGAGCATGTCCATTTTTGAAGTTAGAGAGGATCTGTAGCCTGCGTGCCGTAGAGCTGGTCCAGGAATTGTTCAAATTATTGTATTCATTTTGCTCCCTTTAAGAGACTTACACTTTAGACAGAGAAGTATATTCTCTGTCTAAATTTGACATGTTACACAATTTTCTTGTGCCTTAGAATTCCAAGAGTTTGTAGAGAGTAAATCCATAAAACAGTAGCATGTAGCTAGGACCACATAGTGGTTTTTAATGCAGTTAAGAATACATTTCATTTCATTTATGGGTACAATTCCAGTCTGGTTTGTTGCAGTGAGAGTGAGATGTCAGTAGTAAGCCTGCAACACATGAAGACAAATACCAACTCTGATGTTATTCTCCGGTGACAGAATTTATATCTTTTTTGCTTCTAAAGTGGCAAGTTACAGGTTATGTCTGATACTCATGAATCTGTTTTATCTCTTTGAGAACATTACAAAATGGATGTAATTGCTTCTTGTAGCTTTCATAGTTTAGAATTGTATAAATAAAAAGTTTCCTTGTCTGTTCTCAATTTTCTACCATTAGATAACTATGCAGGAAAGCAATGCTAATTTTGTAGAGCATTTCAGGAGACAGATATATTAGGACAGTTACTTGTCATTAAGGTAACTTGAGTGTGGCATTGAGAAAGACCATATGGAAGACGGTAAAACGTTCATTACTCTAATAGAAATACATCTAGTGAAATGCTACACAAATTAAACATTACTTGTTTTAAGTGATGGTTTCTACAGCAGTATATATTTCTAAAAAAAAAAAATGCCATAAAGGTAATAAACAATTGTATGCCAACATCAATGTGAATTAAAATGCTTATTTTTAATTATTTTTGTCATCTCCTCCTTTCATTTAATTACAAAATACTTCATATAGCTTACATGCTTGATAAAATGTTTTGAAAATTAAAACAAATTAGGAAAAATACAACAGCACAGCTCTCGATAAAAAATATACCTTGTGTGCCAATTTTCCAAATCCGAGCACAGTCACTCAAACATAGTTTGAAAGTTAAAATAAAATTCTGTGATTCTTTGCTTTAAAATAAGGACCTTAATGTAAATAAGTTGGCTATTTGTGCTAGAATATTTTTAAAAGATGCATGCAATAATCATCTGGTAATAGATGGCAGATACCCAAGTACAGTTACAAGGAGCTCAACTCCTACTGAGCATCTCTTGCGGTTGAGGATGATTGGTAATTGAGCCATTATGCCAAAACGTTATCTGTGTTGAAACAGGTTCGTGTGTATGTGGTGTTACACTAGTAGACACTGTTGTGAGAACTCTGCACCTGCATATATCCTCCATTATCTTAACTGTGGTGTGGTTCATAATTCTTCCTTGTTCTCTCAATCCAAATGCACCGATAGCCGGAAGCAAAAGCCTTTTCCGTCTTCCTCAAAGGATGCCTTCAGATGATGGGATCCTGAACTTTCCACATTTGGCTGGGAACCTCTCAGCTGAAAGCTGTATAACTTTTCCAATCCTCTGGGGAATATAACACAGATTAGCAGAGCACCACATATTTTTTTCTTCCAGTGTCTGAAAAAAAGGCTAGTGGTGAAAGTACCGAATACTCTACGAAACAGCTGCATTTTTTTTCATAGTATGTAACTATATTTAACACAGTGTTTAGTTGCAGGCTATCAGTGTGGAGAAATATGTACGTACCCTTTCGTCTATGTGCTAGTGCGTCGGATGTAAGGAGCTGTAATAAGTTAAGCAATTCATATTGTAAAAACTATTTCCTAGAGCCTCCTTGAAAGCCAATGGATTAGAGTAAAGGTGTGTTTCCTATAAGAAGGCTGCACATCCTGGTTCGTGAGACAAGGCTACGGGGTTAAGCATCTTCACAATGAGTTTGAACAGAAACACCAAGCTTGGTGTGTTGCCCTCACATCTTCCCATGATAGATGTGAAGTCTTCTCCGTTCCTTCCGTTTTCTCTGCCACAGCAAAGCACTGCTGAATCTTGTAGCAATGTTAAATGAAGCTGAGAGGAGAGGCCTAATAACATAGAATAAATGAGATGGGAACAATTGCAATTTCCAAGATTTAATTGCAGACAGGAGGAACTACAACCTGATTTGGGTTAAACGTGGCTGAAAGCTGCTATAATGCACATCGTTCCTCCTACCTTGTTCACGCCAAGCCTCTCATCGGTGCCAGCAGATATTGGTTCTAGCATGAGAGTTTCGTTCCTAGACTGCAAACGGATGTGGACATAAGGAAATAAGACCTTAAGGGCAAATGGGGTATAGGATGGTAGCGGAGTAAGTTTGTTACGAGAGACATGTACCTGGATTAACCGAGTGCCTGCTTTTAACTCCCCTACAAACCACAAACTAGCCTACTCTCAAACTTCCAAAACATACAATGCAAGGCAAGCAAGTTTAGTGTATGTAAAACAACCCCCATCCCGCCTGCTGGTGGTTCTGAGTTTCTGGCACTATAACATTTGTCACATCTGGTACCAACTGTACAACGTCTGCTGGAAAAGGCCAGTTTCCGGCAGACTGGAGATTTTGGCTTTCCTCACACAAACCATTAGAATACTGGGCACTTTGATGAGCGTGTACAAGGATGAAAGATGAAACGAGGCGATCCAGAAAAGACGTGCAGGAGATTAAGATGCCACTATCCATCACTGGAAATCCCAGTTCTTCCAGCCAAGGAGCTATGGGAGGGCAGGTCCCTTGCTCATCCTTGTACCAAAGAACTCTTCGCACCCTCACCGCTGGCTGTTGCTTCAAACCGTAAGCCTTCCCTCTGTCCTTCAACGGAGCGGCCATCATGCAGAAATCATTCAATGCTCATGTATTGGAGACTTGGAGAGGGGCACAGCAGTTCTTTGGTCTAGCGCTGTATTTTGTGCATTCTTTAGAGTTTGTTCTGTAGCCTGGGGCAACTCTTCTTCTGTTTCTGCTCTTGAGTCGGAGGCAACCACATTCTGTTCTTGCGGGGGAGGGCCTAGAAAAAAGTTCCCACAAATGGTCATCACAACTGGATTGATTGACAACAGCCCAATTCCCGGAAGCAAGGGGACCCCAAGAAATCAGGACTGAGGGAACCTCTAGTCCGAGGGTCTTCAAACTTGGCAAGTTTAAGACTTGTGGACTTCAACTCCCAGAATTCCTGAGCTAACATGACTGGAGGAGGAATTCTGGGAGTTGAAGTCCATGAGTCTTAAAGACCCCCCCTGCTCTAGTCCCTCATGTAAAAGATGCTTTAATGCTCGTCAAACGACATAGGCACTAAATGAAGGTTGGCTGAGCATTTTATGTGATTCTTCTAAGCTTTGATTGTGAGCCACGGTTTGCGCAGTGGTTAGAGTGCAGTACTGCAGGCTACTTCTGTTACCTGCTGGCTGCCTGCAATTTGGCAGTTCAAATCTCACCAGGCTCAAGGTTGACTCAGCCTTCCATCCTTCCGAGGTGGGTAAACTGAGGGCCCAGATTGCAAGAGGCTGTAAACTGCTCAGAGAGGGCGGTAAAGCATTGTGAAGCGGACTATAACTCTATTGCTATTAATGATCGAAGTAGTCCAGTCCTAAAACTTTGGAATGAACGTGGGAGACGTTTACAATTTAGAAGATGAGTTTATATCTAGGAAGAGTAAAGTTGGGGTATTTCTCTCTTACCTAGAGAATCCGAGGGTGCAGACGGTCCAGTCTCCAAAAGCAACTTGGGCTTAGTCTTCCATTTCAGAATCGGGGAGCGTTGCAAAGAAAGAGGGAATTTTGCATCTGTAAAGGAATGCAGGCCATGTTAACCAGATCTAGAAAAGAGACCTCGCAATCCAGAACAAAAGTGTGCCGTGTGTAATTCAGGATGTAGATCACACACTGATGTAAAAACCATGCTTCAGCAGAGCTATTGGTGGCCAGACACCTCATTTTTACCTTCTGGGAAATGGGCTCCTGCTTTGAGTCTATAGCAGCATCTGCCCGATCAGGCCCTGTATCCTTTAGGACAGGGGTCTCCAACCTTGGCAACTTTAAGACTTGTGGTCTTCAACTCCCAGAGTTCCCCAGCCAGCAAAACTGGCTGAGGAACTCTGGGAGTTGAAGTCCACAAGTCTTAAAGTTGTCAAGGTTGGAGACCCCTGCTTTAGGATACAGCTATATTACTTCGCTGTTGTTTCTTCACAATTGACACAATTTTTGTACTTTTCTAGGTCTACATTTGAATGAGCATGCACTGCACAGTCCATGTCTTTGTTTCCAGCTATTTATCATGGGCAAATGAGCTCCTTTGGTAGCATGATATACAACTGAAATGTTCACATCTTTAAGCTGGATTTGCTTAAGGACTTTCCATGATTAACTGAACAGCTGCCATGGTTGCTTAACCACCATGGCAAAACTTGTAAAAAGGGAGGCGTCTCAACCTTTGCTTAAGCTTTGCTTAGCAATGGAAATTCTGCTATCCACTGTGGTCATAAGTAAAAGACGACCACTATTTCAGGTTCCTATCGTCGTCTGCTCATCCCTTATCAACAGGTAATTGTACTTTCTCTTCCCTTCCCCGTATGCATTAACTCTCTCCATCCCTCAGCCTAAAAGGCACCTGGTTTTCACCTAAAACGTAGGTGAAAATTAATGGTTGCGCCAATTTACATTATGCGATACAATAACCCATAATAAGGATGGAAAATTGAAATGAGTCCATCAAAACCTTTTCTTTAATAGATACTGCACTATCGATCTGCACTCTGATTAAACATCATAAATTTCCCTATTGGCCTCACCTCCACTTTGCATGATTACAAAGAAGCATTTGTTGTAGTTTCAGGCAATATACACATTTCTTCTTAAACATTAACAACATCTGAAATGACTCATAGAAACGTTGACTTGGAAAGGAGATTTTATCTCAGATTTTTTGGGAGGAATCGGCATTTTTGTGGAAATATTTACAGACCCCTCACATCCTGGACATAAACTGTTTCAACTCCTTCCCTCAAAACGACGCTATGCACACCAGAACAACTGGACACAAGGGCAGTTTCTCCCCGAACGCCATCACTCGGCTAAACAAATAATTCCCTCAACACTGTTCAACTATTTACAAAGTGTGCACTACGATTACTGTTAATCTTCTCATCACTCCTTATCACCCAGCTCCTCCCAGCTGTGACTGTATGACTGTAACCTTGTTGCTTGTATCCTTACGATTTATATTGACTGTTTCCTAGTATGATTTGATTGCTTATTGTACCCTACGACTATTATTAAGTGTTGTACCTGATGATTCTTGACTGTTGACGAATGTGTTTTTTCTTTTATGTACACTGAGTGCATTTGCACCAAGATAAATTCCTTGTGTGTCCAAACACACTTGGCCAATAAAAGAATTTGATATTCATTCTATCTATCTAATAAATATTACTTTGATTCTGTTCTATCCTATCCTATCCTATCCTATCCTATCTTCCTACCCTACCCTACTCTACTCTACTCTACTCTACTCTACTCTATTCTCTATTCTATTCTCTATTCTATTCTATTCCATTCTCCCCCCCGCATCTGCTTTTTGGAAGTCTTTCAATTAGATAAAAGTTTCTTCCTTGTGAAGAGAAGAAGGTTGTCAGTCTACCTCCAAGCTCCCTCCTCTTACCAATTGATTGGTTGAACTGGTCTAGGGTCTAGGGATTGATTGAATTTACTTACGGTGAAGCTCGGCCGCACAAGCCTGGTCCCTGAGCTGCTCTTCATGAACAGACATGGCCCTTCGGTTGACCGCTGGCTTTAGGCGAGGTTTGGGTTTGAACTGATTGTCTGAAAAGTGGAAGTGAATAAAATCATAACGATGTTCAGGCAGGCAGGCATCAGTCCATGGCAGGTAAATAAATTTGGGTGGCTACCTTTGCTCCCCCCAAAAAGTATCCAGCAAATCGTGGCTCAGAGGAAGTTCCTGACTTAACAACCACCACCTAGAGCACCATTTCCCAGCCGCAAGGCAGTTCAGTGAGTCACTATCGCCCTTGACTTAACAATTACAACTTGCTCAGCAAGAGAACGGCTGGGTGAGTTTTGCCCCAGTTTATTGCCGCAGCGGCTTAAGTGAGTCGCTGCAGTTGTTAAGCTAGGAAACTGGCTTCCTCACGGACTTAGAAAAGTCGCCAAAGACTCAGAAAGTCACCAAAGTTGATCCCAAAGTTGACTCTAGGACCCTGCAACAGTCTCCATACATGCCAAGCACCTCAGTTTACATCATATGACCATGAGGATGTTGTGAGAGTCGTACGTGGCAAGACCTGTGGTTAGGGCCTTTGCAACTTTATAAACAGTCGCTAAATGAATAGTTGTAAGTTGAGAACTACCTGTAACAACTACTGACTTGTCACAATTGGACGGTTTTTGCTGGAAACTGGAAATAAATGCCAATTGCCATATGATATATACATATACAGTATACACACACACACACACACACACACACAGGCTATTTGCAGCAACATGCGGTTGTGGTACCCCAATGTATGTTTATACCTAGCTATATCTATCTGTCTGTCTGTTGTCTATATCTATGTATCCAGTGGTGGGATTCAATTTTTTTTACTACTGGTTCTGTGGGCATGGCTTGGTGGGGGTGGCAGGGGAAGGATATTGTAAAATCTCGAGTCAGAGGTGGGATTTGCTGGCTCTCCAAACTATTCAAAATTTCCGCTACCGGTTCTCTAGAACTGGTCAGAACCTGCTGAATACCATCTATCTCTATCTATCTATCTATCATCTATCTATCTATCTATCTATCTATCTATCTATCTATCTATCTATC